TGACCTTCTTGATCCGGAATACCCGAAGTGAATAGATAAATGCCTTGTGATGACTCATCCACTCCGCGTTCCGCCTCGTTTTCCAGGGTATACCTGATCAACAGAAAATTATGATTTTCGTTTTTGAACAAAAAAAAGAATAACGTTAGCATACTAAAAAATACTTTTCTAAAACAGATATAGTTGGATGCTGATTGTAATGAAGTATTGTTCATGAATATATTTGAATCACAATTACTTGCGTGTTACAAGTTTTAGCAAGAAAAAAATATCTGACTTGATTTGACCTATTTTTAGTTCAGTTTCGTCTGTTGTGAATTCACCGTTCACAAAAGTGATTTAAACCCCCGAGCTGAAACATCACATCAGTGTACCCGGTTAGGTCGGAAGAAATCCAAACCATTGTTGAACAGTTTTGGGATACTTCAAGGTGCAGTTCTTATCCTGTACTTATTTTCTACGTATATTAGTAACTTGTCTGCTAGCGTCCCTACTTCTCCCTTTAAATATGCTGACGATGTGGTTTTGTGTCAGGCCATCTCCGCCTTTTCTGGTCTTTTACAATTTTCTGGGAACTTGGATAACGTTCAAAATTTTTTCGCAACATCTGGCCTATCTCTCAATCCCTCCAAATGTTTTGAATATCCCTTTATATTATCACATTCTTCTTTCCCATCTGAACAGGTATCGATTGGTTCCGAACCACTATCCCGGGTAAACTGTATTAAATACCTGGGTGTTTTATTGATGCTAATGTTCACTGGACTTCTCACACTCAACACATTGTCAGTAAGTTTCAACAACTTTCTTTTCATATCCCAAAATTTCGTCGGTTTCGTATTCAACATGCAATTAGTTCCAAACTCGTGTACCGGTGTGGTTTCCCCGTTTTTACCTCATTGTTCACCTGTTTTTTTCCCAGTCTACTAACATTTTTAAATTTCTTCGACGTGTACTGACCATCATTGGCCGTGCCTCTTCAATCCCGCCGGAGGAGTTGATAACTGACCGGTGTGAATGTCATTTGAATGCATATGAAAAGTTGACGCATCAAATTCTTATCGACTCCATACATCCGCTGCACGCAAACATAACTTCCTGTTCTTTTCATGCTTCAACTAGATTCCAATATCGTTGTGTTCCCTATGGAATAAACATTTATTGTAACTCTACAGCACGTATTCTAATTAATAAAAAGTAGATTTTCGCAGACTTCGTTAACAGTTTTGAGATTTAAATCTGTTTTTTTTTTCAATTTTATTTTTATTTTCTCCCTCTCTACCATCTACATATTGTTAAATCAAATGTAGTCTTTATGCCTACAGAAGTTATTAAATTATAATACAATACAGTAAAAAAAAATTCTTCCATTTGTCAGAAGACCAAACTGGATCGTGAATTCAACTGCATACAGTGATAGTGAGTTTATTTAGCCCGAAGGCAACTAAGGGAGACACAGATGACAATCTGTAAACTCCAATCGAAAACCTCATGAAAACGATACCTGAACAAACATGAATTGGCAATTTAATTCAGCCATGGTATGAACTGGTTGGGACAGTGGTAACGCACACGCCTTCCATGTGATGAGTTCGGATTTCAAATCCCGGACAGGACGGTGGATATGCAATACTGATGAGCTCTAATAAGAGCAAAACTCGAGTCTAGTGCTTCCGCGGGTATGGTTGAACCGATAAACTGAGGATTGTGAATGAAGGTGAAGTCCAAAGGACAGTCAATTTTAATCAGTTAATTACTCATAAGCTCGTTTCCCCCATGAGATTTTTGCACAATTGAATTGTTTCTCCGCAAAAAAATGCAAAAATGTCTCTCATAGTTCTGGGTAGTAAATAACAAATAATGTGGTTTTAAACAAATTTGCGTTTTCTTAGTTGTGTAGAAATGTGAGCTGGGTCAGGATTTCATAAAAGTCTCCGCCTGAAAAATTCAACAGTTGGGACATACAAACGACGTGAGATGGAAGAGTATTGTTCGAAGTGGTGTACACTCTGACTGTGAAAACGATTGACGCCGACATTCAAATTGAAAATTTGGAATCAGTAACTTGAAACGATGTCCCCCTAGGGTGTATACTGTTTGACAATGTGAGCAGTGACCGACATGGATGGT